ACTACTACTACTACTACTACTACTACTACTACTACTACTACTACTACTACTACTACGGCTGCTGCTACTGCTGGCGCTGCTGCTTCCACTGTTGCTTCTGCAGCTACTACTGCTACTGATTCTGCTGCTGCTGCTGCTGCTGCTTACACTGTTGCTGGTGCTGCTGCTATTAGCTGCTAGTGCTGCTGCTGCTGATGATGATGGTGGTGATGGTGATGGTTGTGGAGGCGCTACCGCGCCCGCATATAAACAAGATCTGTATAATTAATTACCACACGCTACTACGTTCGATTAGAAGTTGCCTGTCGTGCGCGGGGTACCTAGTTGCCAGTGCCTCCCCCAGGCGGCGACACTCGTGAAGGGAAATGCTGTCGGCTACCATCTGCAGTTCGTGGTCGTTTAAGTCGATAGTCGCCATCGACCCGTGTGACGTCAGAACGACAAGAGCAACCGCACACAGCATGTCACATCCAGGTGACATCATGTCACTTTGCGTACGTCAGGAACGCCGGCTCTGTCTAATCAATATCGTGGGCGCGTTCTTATTGCTAACACGTGCCATCAGCAATCCATTGTTTCCATAGAAATAATATACTAGTTATGCTCTATATATTTCTATAATTGTTTTAACCGACCATTGTTTTTAAATAAGACAAGTGCTAGATACCGTTCTGCTCGCCGGCTTTTTTCGCGGACAACGCAAGACGTTGCACTGGGACTCGGTTACTTTATTGAGAGGTTTAGAAACTCGGGTAAAGTAACCTACGTTTAAATGTGTTTCCATGTTTAACCTTAACCATAACAGACGTTTGCACTAAACGCGTCTGTGACGCCGTCGCTTAACGGCGTTTAAATGTTTCTGTGTGCCAAACTGCCTTTTTATTTACATGCCTGCCGACCTCCTGTGGGTTTGCTTTGTTGTTTGTTTATATGTGTGCCTTCCTGCTCTTTTTTATCTACAATGTACCTGGTTGTTGTTGTTCTTTTTGCTTTCTGTTTGCTTGTTGTTGTTTTTTCTCTTTTTTCTTCATAATTATGTTATTCTATTTTTACTTGTTAGTCTATTACTACTCTGTTTGTTTATATTCCAAGTAATTTCTATTTAAGCACTAGTTTTATAGTAATAGCTATTTCTATAATGCAGTGCGTGCGGGCTGTGCGTGTGTGCGCATGCAGTATATATATCCTGTGTGTGCAGTATGCAGTATAGTTAAAATGTGCACCAGTGTACTTACGGTAGGCACACCACGAGTAAAAATTCGCACGTGAAAAATAAGAAAAATGTAATGGCTGTCTATACAATCATTTCATTCGTTTAATTATGTCCGACGGCACGTATAAACTAGCATCATGTTCTTAGTAAAAGAATGACGGAAGTCGTTATTGACATGAATAGCAACAATATGTGCGTCAGCGGAATTCGACCAGTAATAAAAACCCAGCACATCTGATTATTGGATTTTCTCTTCATTGAGAAGTTGTTTACAACTTTCGTCGCGGTTCTGATATGTCAGTGTAACAGGTACTGCTGATTAAATTGGTTTTTTATTGTTCATTCATGCAAAAATATCGTCACTTTGGAATGACTCGCTCATAATTACTTTTTATTAACTACTAATATTTCTCGTTTTCTGCGTATTTCATCTTCACTCTGTTGACCTGTTAGCTCGGTATTTTTGTCATACCGCTGTCACACACACGATACAATGCGAGCGTAAAAATGATAGACGATAGAATAGTCGACAAAATTTGATGACGTCAGCGGAAGCGTTGCTCTCGCCTACCGTCGTCGTCTGCCACCAAGCTTGCAGATCTTGAAATAGCAAATCACTGCAATACACGAGAAACATATTATTAACAACTAGCCTACAACTTTAGATCTACGGTATTTCGTATTCAAATTGTGACATTGACACATCAAATTTCAAATTTAGGTATAGTGAAGAGTACCGGAAATGGGCGCAGTGTGTATATATCCGACTTCCGATAATTAAATTGTTTTTCATTTTGCTTAACGAACGGTAAAAATTTGCAATAGATTTCGGGATCGATGACTTACTATTTCGCTTGGAGCTGCTGAGGGGCGGTCGGTAAGCACTCGGACTGTGCAATGCGACATCGTAACTTTTCGCGACGAGAGACTGTGCATCCTGTGTATCACTGCGACCATATACGTCATATAACGCCTGTAACAAGTAGGCGATGACGGCATCGCCTCTATCTACTGTTTGCTGTAACGAGAACCTGAGGTAAACGCGTGGTGTGCGTGTCTTGGGATAAAAGAAGACGAAGAGGAGGATAGAAGAAGAAGAAAAAGAAGAGGAAGAAGACGAAAATATGAAGTAGAAGCAGGGTGAGTAGGAGAAAAGAAAAAAGACGACGACGACGATGAAGCAAACAAGAAGAAGAAGAAGAAGAAGAAGAAGACGACGAAGAACAACAACAACAATAACAAAAACAAGAACAAGAACAAGATAAACAACGAGAACGAGAATAAAAAACAAGAGAAAAAATACCAACAACAACAGCAACAAGATAATGATGAGGAAAACGAGAAGGAGAAAATGAAAACGACGACAAATTAGAGTTACGTTGTTTATTGCCCACATGAATCACGAAATGGCTCAGTTTTCCCACCGGTCGAGCAAAACTCGCTTTGAAATTATGTATCCCCGAAAAGTGACATATTGATGAGTACGTTGAGTGGACTCACGGAAATATTCAGCCGCATGAAAGCGCGCTTTTTTTCTAATGGCCTCTAATAGCTTTCGCGCCACAAACGGATGATTGACGTCCATAAAGGCCGCTGCTATATGAGTGTTTATGCTGACGTCGTAAACACACGCTAGCTAGTCATCAGCGCGCGCGTCCACAGGTGTGTTTCGAATTACATGTAAAAGCAATTCATTATATGATGAGTTCGCGTGACGTCATTGAGCAGCTACCGGCCGACCGAGTAGTAAGCGACGTAACGAGGCCGCCGACGAGTATGTTTTTATATTTAAGCGATGGCGGTAACTGCATTGAGCTCGATTACTTGTCAATGATGACTCAAGCGGGAATATGCTGTGTGGGTCACCGCTGTGCTCCCACTGACAAACTATGACGTCACGTGTCATGACTAGTACACTAATATGTACAATCGTGATTATCACGCAATTTGCCGAGACAGTAATTAATGACAGACAGTTTTACGGGCTCTCTATAATGAGCCAGCTGGCCTGGCTGCATATAGACGGATCGCATACTCAGTAGTATGTGTCAACACGTGTAAAGTTGACGCAGTATCAATTCGCTATTCCTCCTCCGCGCACACTTACAAATAGATAGAGACAGAGACAGTTTATCTGAATCATATAGTTTCATAATGACCACCGGAGCTAAACTCACGCTTGACTTGCAGGGCCATACTAATATAGTGTAATGTTAGTGAAACAGCGAATTTTGTCTTTCGCGCGTTTGTGTTTGTGTGTGTGTGTGTGTGTGTGTGTGTGTGTGTGTGTGTGTGTGTGTGTGTGTGTGTGTGTGTGTGTGCGTGTTGTGTGTGTTGTGTTGTGTGTATGGTGTGTGTGTGTGTGTGTGTGTGTGTGTGTGTGTGTGTTTATGTTTGTGTGTATGTGTGTGTGTGTGTATGTTTGTATGAGTGTGTGTGCGTGCGCGCGTGCGTGCGTGCGTGCGTGCGTGTGTAGCTCTAGTATCAGTTTTTGTTTTTCGTGATGATCCTAAGCGCACGTGTCAAATCCGCTGTGTCATATAGATGTTTTCTTTAATTATAGATGCAGATATTATAGTAGGAACCCATCTGTCATTAGAACAATCTAATAGAAGGCACGTTGCGCATGCTCCACTTATTGCGCTTGACCCGCACTCTCATTACGTACCCATCCTAGCTCGGACAGATTGTAATTTTCGTCCACGTAAGTATTAAACGAAGAAATAATAATACGTTTTGGTGTTTTACCACCGGGGGCTAGCAAGATGGTTGGTCGCAATTAGTACACACATACACACGCACACACACACGCACTCACACACGCACTAAACAACGCACAGCGCACAACGCATGCACACATGCACGCACACTCACACACGCACACGCACTCACAACACGCACGCACACACGACGACACACCGCACGCACGCACAGCTCACACACACACGCACTCACACACGCACGCACGCACACACACCTACGCACACACACACACACACACACACACACACACACACACCACAAAACATAGCGTCAAACACACACACACGCACGCACGCACACACGAACGCACACTCACAACATGCACGCACATACACACAATACACACACACCACGACACACATGCCCACACGACACACAGACACGCACACGTAACACAGCGCACACGAACACATACACACACGCGAGGCGCCCAGCACACACGCACACACATTCGCGCACACACACACACATATACACACTCACACACACAACATACGCGCAGCACTATCGCACACGTACACCACATGCATACATACCAGGGGTTAATAATGACACATTTTTGCATTATTAACCCCTGAATACATACACGCAAACAGCAAACACACACGCGCGCGCATACACCGCACCGAACGGCACGCACGCACGACCTAAGCACGCACCACGCACGCACGCCACGCACGCCGCACGCACTTACAGCCACACACATGCATACATACACACAAACGCGTATATATGTAATATACATATTATCTGATATTATATATATATATATATATATATATATAAATATATATAATATATATATACATATATGTAATATATATATTACGACCTAGCTGAAGATTATCGCGTGTAGCGGGGACGCAGCGTTACTTCCTCAGTCGCAATTAATTTTCTTCTGATAATAACGGTCGAATAATAAAGGTGGTGAATGGAAGCAACGTATAATATCACTGCATGACGATTATAAGTGTAAACCTAATACAACCTAAATGAGAAAGTTTTACTGGGAATTAAATGCGCGATATCAGCTGCTACACCATTCTCATAGAAGCCGTAGCGAATACGGAAAACTATTAAAAAACAGTTGGTAATGCAAGAAAACCCTGAGTAACATAACACGAACATAATATCTTAATCTATTAAATAGATAGATAGATGACAGATAGACAAATAGACAGACCGGCAGATAAATAATAGATAGATAAGATATATAAAAAGATAGATAGATAGATAGATAGATAGATAGATGTTAAATAAATAGATAGATAATATAGATAGAATAGATAGATATATAGATAGATAGATATATAGATAGATAGATAGATAGATAGATAGATAGATAGATAGATAGATAGATAGATAGATAAATAGATAAATAGATAGATAGATAGATAGATAGATAGATAGATAAATAGATAAATAGATAGATAAATAGATAAATAGATAATAGATAGATATATAGATAGATAGATATATAGATAGATAGATAGATAGATAGATAGATAGATATATTAGATAGATAGATAGATAGATAGATAATAGATATGATAGATAGATAGATAGATAGATAGATAGATAAATAGATAAAAGATAGATAGATAGATAGATAGATAGATAGATAAATAGATAAATAGATAGATAAATAGATGGATAGAACGATAGATAGATAGATAGATAGATAGATAGATAGATAGATAGATAGATAGATAGATAAGATAGATAGATAGATAGATAGTAGATAGATAGATATATAGATACTAGATAGATACTAGATAGATAGATGGATAGATGGATGGATAGTATATAGATAGATAGATAGATAGATAGATGATAGATAGATAGATAGATAGATAGATAGATAGATAGATAGATAAATAGATAGATAGATAGAATAAAGATAGATAGAAGATAGATAGATAGATTGATAGATAGATAGATAGATAGATAGAAAGATAGATAGATAGAGAGATAGATAGATAGATAGATAGATAGATAGATAGATAGATAGATAGATAGATAGATAGATAGATAGATAGATGGATAGATAGATAGATGGTTGGATAAATAAATAAATATATAGATAGATAGTTTACGTTAAAGCAAACAGCAAATATCGATCACAGATCCGCATAGATACGGACAATAACTTGCTTGATTTCTACTCACCCGTGAGGTTCAAACGTACTGCTAACGTTTCGCGCCCTAACCGGAGCCTTTTTTCAAAGCTGACTGACGTTGTCAGATTTGTAGAAATCAACCAAGTTATATCTATTATCAACCAACCGAATTAACTTATTCAATGCGCATAGATACAGTTTATCAATAATCAATGAATCGATGGATCGAGGACAGACTCACCTGATCTCGCGTCGGCACTGATTCGTAGTCGATGTTCGATGACGGAATAGCGACAATGCAGACGACGGCGGCGGACGACAGCACTAGTAGCAGCAACCAGGACGGCATCGTGGCAAGTGTGGTCGGTCGTTCGTCGGTGCTGAGGTGTGTAGAGGTGCTGAGTGAGGGTGTTCGTAGATGAGTGAGTGCTACTATATATATATATACCCGTTTGTATAGAGCTCGCTCGTTCGTGCGCGCCGTGCGAAGTGGACAGCTACCGATCTGACCACCTAAGCCGCTCACCCACTTTTACGTCGTTTTCGCCGGATGCCGGCGCATATAAGGGCTTCGTGCGGGGGCGATGACGGAGCTCACGGCACCTGCGCGCCGCCCCGCTTCTCCCTCCCCCCTCCCCTGCCCTTCCCCTCCACTGCACGCCTCTCCGGCAGTGCGGCACACGCGCCTTACGCTTATCGATGAATCTGTCGATATCGGCCGCCGCGCTGTAATTGGTCGCGCCAATCCTCTGACACGATTATGATTCGTATCGCCAGCGTCATCGTCGCCGTCGTCGCCAGCGTCATCGTCGCCGTCGTCGCCACCGTCATCGTCGCCGTCGTCGCCACCGTCATCGGCTGCTATTGCGCGTGTCGCGTTAATTCTGACCGCTTACTCGTAGATGAACGTTTGGTCGGCCATGTTGGCTGGCGCGTTGCCAGCGGCCGTGGGGGCGTCACGGGAAAGTTGGAGCGCTGAGGGGGGGGGCAGTTTCGTAGGTGGGCGTGACGTCATCGATCGGTAGTGGCACGTTCGCTCGGAAGCGTAGAGAATGTCGAATGTCGAATGACGTTATATGTCAGATGAGTGTGTTAGGGGAAAGGAGGGGGGGGGTAAATGCCGCGGCGCTCGTTCGTACGCTGGTACGTGAAAACATCGTCAGCTCTTTCGCCCGCGCGCGCGGGGGCGAACGCTGAGCGCCTTAACGAACCACGTTTCGCGAGATCGCGTTCTAAGCGGCGTCGCTGAGCGGGATTTATCCGACGAGCCTTTTAATACGGGCCCATAATGCCGCTGGCGGACGCGTCTGAAATAAAAGCGTGAGGACTGCGCGCGATGGCGACGGTCATAAAGGTGCGAGACAGCGCGTCTGTGTGACGGCGAGCTACGGCGCGACACTCCGCCGCTTTCTTCAACACCCCTCTTCCGCCTCGCGCCACTCACAGCTCGCATCGCAATAAAGGGATCCGGCGGGGCAGGCAGACGACAATGGTGGGCATTACTGACAGCACCCCCCTTTCACCCCACCGCTAGACGGAAGTTCGGCAGCGTTCGCACGCACCGCGTTGTCGCGCCTGAACCAGCCGAGACCTCCTCGCGCTCGACGCTGCCTTAGCAGCGTCATACTACTGCCTGCTGCTGCTACTACTACTACTACTACCTGCAGCTGCTGCTGCTGCTGCTGCTGCTGCTGTTGCTACTGCCTGCTGCTGCTGCTGCTGCTGGCTACGCGGCTGTGCTGCTGTTGCCTACTGCCTGCTCCTGGCTGCTGCTACTGCTACTACTACCTGCGGCCGGCTTGCTGGCTGATGCTGCTGCCCTGCTACTACTACTTACGTACTAACGCTGCTGCCTGCTGCCTGCTGCTGCCTACTGCTGCTGCCTACTAACTACTTACTACTTATACTACTACTACTACTACTACTACTACTACTACTACTACTACTACTACTACTACTACTACTACTACTACACTACTACTACTATTACTGTTGCTGGTGATGATTATTTACTATTACCTCTTCTATCACGGTCGCTATTGCTGCTGCTGTTGTTGTTGCTGCTGCTGCTGTTGCTGCTGTTGTTTTTGTTGTTGTCGGCGTCGTCGTTATCGTCGTCGTCGTTATTGCCGTTGTTTTTACTGCTACTGTTGCGGATGCTACTGCTAAACGTAGCGCCGACTGTGTTAATAAAGGTGATGATGATGATGATGATGATGATGATGATGATGATGATGATGATGATGATGATGATGATGATGATGATGATAATGATGATGATGATGCTGTTGTTGTTGTCAACAAGGACGATTAATGGTTTAGATGATATTTAATTATATTTCTTTTATGTTCTTGGATGATGTTTAAAAGTTCACTGCCTTTCTAAACACTTGCCTCGGATTACTCCATGACTATTTTCGCGCAAATTATAAGATTAGATCAAATTAATTAATTTTAATATTAAAGAAAAATAATAAAGATTAAACAAATTATAATAATAGAATATATATAGTACTGCAGTGCGACAATCTTACCATCAATGATGTCGTTTTCCGCCATCGGGAAGATGTGACGTGTAATTCAATTACTCACTCACGGGGAGCTGCTCTCGACAACACATAAATCGTTGCAAAAAAATCGGCACGTGCTGCTGCAAAAATATTAAACTGCGTAATAATGCGCGCGGACGAATATGCCGGCTGACAGTCGAATAACGCCGCGCGAAAAATAATTCGCATTGTCACAATGCGCTCGAGTGTTTTGCAATTCGTGGGTCGACTACTCAATCCATCTCATGTCGTTTGAAAATTTACAACTCTTCAATCCTCACTGCTTGAATTGAATACTAACGTTCTTGCGCACGTGCTTCGTGCTTTAGTAACAAAAGACCCGACGTATCGAATGAGAGACAGCCAATGACTGATCGAGTTATGAAATGCAAGTCACGAAAATTATAAGGAGTGCTACAAAAGACCCACTCGCTCCGTATTTGCATCTATAACTGACATCGCGCGTGGTAAAACGTCGCTAGAAGGGTTATATTAACGAATTATGCGTGGTGAAATGCCACTTTAAGAAGGATTAATTAACAGATAATGCGCTTTCTTACTGGTATCTAGCTGCACCTTCAACGCCTCGCCGTGGGAACAAGCATGCACGCGCGCGATCGTGTGTCTACGAGCTTGCTCAACCCTTGCCGATTTTGAGCGTCTGCTGAGAAAACACTGGCTTTACCCAACACTGTCGGTGTTCTAAAGCTGTTTCGACTTTTAACACGTTTTGAATGCCGTCGTCTGTAGCGGCACCGTTGCCATAACGACGCCGTGTATCGGTGCGCGGCCTCGTGTTTGTTTTTCTTCGCGTGTCTACGAGCTTGCTCAACCCTTGGCGATTTCGAGCGTCTGCTGAGAAAACACTGGCTTTACCCAACACTGTCGGTGTTATAGAGCTGTTTCGACTTTCAACACGTTTTGAAATCCGTCGTCTGTAGCGGCACCGTTGCCATAACGACGCCGTGTATCGGTGCGCGGCCTTGTGTTTGTTTTTCTTGCTGCTATGCAATTATTTTCGATTTCCTGTGCTTAATATTGTCATTATATGTTCGATCTATATGTTAGCGAACGAATAGTAGCGTACCTCGTCTGAAACCGATGCGGTTTCATCTACTCTTCCCCACACACAATTAGACTTGTACAGAACTAGTTGCAAGTGATGGTTAAACGTCAATAATCATGAATATATATCAAGAACACATAAACCCAATGTTTACGCACTCTTGATAACATGCCATGGGCGCAATTATGCTCGCAAGTATTAGAAGCTGGTGTTATAGATTGGGAACTCGATTAGGATTTCGGCGTTGTCATCACTGAGCCATCTAGCGGCTTGATCTCTGTAGAATGGAGGCTAGCGGTGTAATTAGTAAAATATCGCAAATATCGCAATATAAAGCCAAAGCTTACGTCCGCATCTGAGACCCGCGCCAAGCTCGCAGGGTGTTGCTGTCAGAGCTCCGAGCTTTCTTTTGCTCATACGTCTGAACCGTTCTCTTTACATCTTTTGTGCGTGGCTAGTGTAAACGTGGCGTGAATGACACAAGGTATGTTTTACTTGGGTAAATACGCTGAACATTATCGCTCGTTCTCTTTGCCCAACACGGGAGTGAACGTCTCTGAACCACGACAGATGACGACAAGCGTGCTTGACCAAACAGGCGAACGTGGCAAATGTGTTTGCCTCCGGAAGTACGCCCATGAGTTTGTCACTGTTCCTATGGTTACAGTTGCTATGGATAACGACTCCAATTTCCAGAGCTGACTTCCAATTTCTTCGGCCCGTGATTGCAGACAATTAAGGCGGGTCTTTCCTTCGGACTTGCGCACACTGTATTGCATTCATCCAACTGTCGTCCTAATTTATTTGGCAAAATTGTTGGGCAAACAAATAGGTAAAGACCCTTTGAAATTTTTCCGCACTGCGACTATTTTTGGGTTACCGAACAGACACTAAAACGAAATGTTCTTTTTAAACTTACACACAGATCTTGTGTTTAATTACAAGCACACAGGCACACGCACGCACGTACACACATAACACACAGCACACACACAGCACACACACAGCACACAGCACACAGCACACATACACACACACACACACACACACACACACACACACACACACACACACACACACACACACACACACACACACACACACACACACACACACACACACACACA